AACCTAAACTTAAAATCCAACCTTAGAGCGTCACACGCACGCGCTATGTCGTACAAGGATAAAACAACATCGCATGGCTTTTAATTTGCCTATTTTCGCATGGGGGGTGCGTCTTTGGTCTGTCGCCAGCATCAACAGGTCAAGAGCTAGTACGTCTGTAATTACCTGTGGAAACACGGCCTGTTACTTTCTCACCATGCTTGAAAAAACGACGCAGAACGGACAAATGGAGCTGGCTGGCTCGACTGACAGGCGCTTGTCGCCGAATGGAGATCGGGAATGGAATGCAGGAACATTAGCTGTAACCACAACAGTAAACACCTCTGGTGTAGAGCCTCCCCCTGTCGGTGGCGTGTGTCCAGACTGTGCCGCAGTGCACGGTAAATCATGCTCAGATTAGTCGCGGATGGCATGGCGTTCAGTCGGCTTCTTGACCTGCCTTTCGAAGACGCCGACAGTACAGCAGAAGGGACGGTTCGAATGGTGACGGCTCGCACGAGCACGGAAGTCGCGACCGAAGTGCCGACAGCATTGGTGACCACGACTACTGCATTTAATCGTCTGTCAAAACGACCACATACCAATGGTTGCTTGCTACCTTTGCAAATCCATCCAATTTTCGTGCCAAGGTTTTGTGGGGTGACAGAGTATTCATTACGAGATGTAGAATGAAAACTCGGAGAGTAATGTTGCCAGTACCAAAACTCCTTGATTTAACACTGATTTTCCTTCACCGAGCTGGCCAGCTTGCTGCCCAGTCTCGAAAGGCTGTCATCGTCGGACGTGCGTCATCCGCCGCTGTCACCTGCGGATCGCCTCTGAGGTGACTCCACCCTCCCGTGACGGACGGACCGTCACTGGCCACCGCGTCACCGCCCGCCGGGGGCCTCGGTCACTTCAGCACGAGCTCTAATGGATTTCACACGCCAGCGTAATCACGACGGAGAATGTTCTTAGGCTGGCCTGGCTCTGTCCTAATGGTCTGTCCATTTGAGAATCTCGTCGATAATCTGGGAATTGTTTGATAGGTTGAAATCGTATTCGGATGAAAGCCGCGATGTATTTCGGCCTCGAGAACTCAAGAGACAAACAGCCTGGCAGGGTACGAATACGTGAAGCACGGTATAACAGACAATGGCGGTCTATTTACCAGCCACATCATGGACCGACATTTAGACTGACCTGTGTATGTGCGAGCTATTCTGACGTTCCGGGACGTCCAACGTGTGGTGGATATCAGCTGAAAGTCCGTGTTGTGCGTGATGTTCTCTGCTGACCCCCTCAATGAAAGGGGTCGGATATCGGGCGACTTCAGGAAGAAAATTCGTGTTTCCCGCAGTCTCAGCCGCGAGTTGCATACACCGATCTTATAGAACCCTTCCACCACCAGCTGGGGTCGGCTGACCTGACCTGAGATGACCCGTTTGACCTCCACCAGGCCCAAACGTTTGACCGGGAAGCGAACTCCCGGCACATGGATGGGGTAGAAGGCCAACATCTTGCCTGTGATCACCACCAGTCGGGGGCTTGTGTCGGGGAACACCCGACATTTCCTCCTACGGCCTGCCTGGGTCAGGTCAGGACAGGTCAAGCACGTCACCACCAGGGCCAGCGTTAGCCATCGTGCCATAGCCATGTCGACGGCCTCAGCGGCTCCGTCCAGTCTGACGCGTCGATCACAGGCCTGCGAGGGCCATCAAGTGTTCTTGTCGCTCTGACACGTGTTCCGGCCGGAATCTATGCCACCAAAACACGGAGCAAGGCTGCGTAAACACTGCACTGCCGGCTCAACGCTTGAGTGGCCGGAGGCGCTTGGCTCACCGCTTGTTTCGGTCCGCATCCAACACCACGGCCTCGCACAACAACTCTGCTATTGACGGCCGTTTAGATCGCACTCCTAAAATAGGCCGCTTCTCGAGAGGCCGGACACTCCGATGTCGCTGCAGGCAGATGATCTGCCGTAGCCTGGAGCACGTGATCAGCCGAGGCCTGGAGCAGGCAGCGGCAGAGCTGACCCTCGAGAGCGGCGGAGGGCGCCACCGTCACGCTCCAGTCTCCGGCGTCGACTGAGCGGCAGGCCATCCCAGCCGCACACCCGCACCTCCTCCGGGGCCGACGGCTGGGACAGGATGGGCGGGGGGGGGGGGGCTGAAGACGACGGGGTGGTAGAGGACGGGAGGTGAGTGCGGGAGGGAAGGGGGCGGGAGCTGAGGGTGGCAGGATGGAAGAGTGCAGGGGCTGAGGACGACGCGAGGAAAGAGGGCGGGAGCTGAGGAGGACGGGAGGGGTGAGGGCGAAAGCTGTAGTCAGGAACAAGACATTAAGGGAGGATAAAGTACAGGAACAGTAGACCACAGGCGGGCAAAGGTTGGAAACTAATTACGTCGGAAACACTGAAGATACAGTAGGGGAACAGAGGGAGTGCAGATAAGCACAGGATGGCAAGCAGCGGGGAAGCACAAGGCCAGGGGCCAATAACGCAGAGAAGACAATAAGGAAGTATGAGGCAGAGGACGTGAATAACGAATGAAGCAGCATTGACTGGTGAAAACTTTGCAACCACATGCAGCAAATATCAGGTAGTTCATAGTACCAAAAAGTTCGTAAAAAGTAATGGCAGCGTTTCTCTGAAATAATAAGGCAAAAGAGTGTTCTTTATTTCTTTGCAAGTTAAACACAATTTGCAATATACAGTTGACTACGTTCTTACGTAGGAGCCAGCAAAAAAGTTGTACGAATTATGATGAATCGTGAATTGAGAGCCAGCTGAAATCAATAGCTTTCAACATAATTAGCTCCTTCCGTCATTGCTGCCAATTAACATAGAGGTTGTTGCGAGCTGACCAGAGACATACTCACGCAACGTTCGTAATCCATACTGGAGGTTCTTACCAGGAATAAAGTTTTCCTCCACAATATGATAATAACGAAGATTGTGTCAAACTCATGCAGCTCGTCAGGGTGTAAGCGTGGGGTTCAAAAATACATAACGGATCACACCCGTTAAATGGCATGAGCGTCCCGTGCGATATCTCTACAAGCAAACCAAGACATAGCACACCACCTCACCGCTGCACATGGAGGCACGCCTCCCGCGAGCGTTGTCTGTCCTTCAGTGGCGAGCGAGATGTTTTCTGACCACACAGCTTACTCCGTGCCTCTCCATCTCACTGGCGGCCGCGGCGTGTCAGGGCCGATGGATGGGTGAAACACACTCCCTCCCCTTCCCCTCTCCAAGACCAGGCGGGTACGGATCGCTGATGTTCCTGCCAGCGAGCCTGGCCCCAGCCAGCCGCCGGCTCTGGGCATCGCCAATGTGACGGGAAGCGGTCACGGTCACAGGCCAAACCCAGCGCTGTCTGGGCGGCTTCAGGGAGGTATGGGGTATTAGTGGAGCATTTTTATTATTACTTTATTCGGGTACAAGTGGAGGCCAAGCGGTGATGGCATTTGATATCCAAAAATGTTCTGGAAATGCCATTGCGCAAACAGGCTGTTGTTCAGTGAAAAAATGGCTCGGTCTTTCGTTAAGGTATGAAGTATTGCCTACAAAAGCAATCGTTGCGTTGTTTGATGCTTGCAAATTAGGTCTCGACCCATTAAATGTGCCAATAACGCAGTTTAAAAAGATCGGGTATCTGTAAGTTTAGCACAATAAGTCACAGCTAATAAGACAAGAGGCGGGGTTCACCGATTCATAACACACTCCGGACATAAGTGATTATGTGTTAAAAGCCCATCGCTCTAGGTGAGGAAGATGCCGTTGCAGCACGTCTGATTATGGAATGCTTATGAAGATTTACGCGGAGCGGTGAGGGCTTTGCTCCACCCAATTGCTGGTGGCACGAACAGTCTATGGCGCCATATCTAGCGTACTGAACTACTGACCTACGGAAGATGCGCTGAAATTCGTCGCCGTGTGGAGAGGGGGAAATGATGACAGCCGTAGGGGGAGGGGACATGATCAAAGCTGTGAAGTGAGAGAAGATGATGGCAGGAGCTCACATTGATTTTCCGACACCCTGTAATCCATGCGACCCATCTACAAACGGTCATCAGACGCTACCCGTGGACTCCTGTCCATCCGGTCACCCGGGATGCCATGACCCGCTTGGCACACATAGGTGCCGGTGTCGGACCGTCACGCGAGATTTCACCACCGGGTGACGCGGCACGGCCGGCCGGGGTGGCGGGGCCCACTGTCTGACAGTGAGCTGTTGGCACCGGCCGCTGTGACGGACACCGGTCGGCCAGGACAGCACCGTGACCTTGGCCTGACGGACGGCGGCCCGCCGTGTGCACGTCTGCTGACCACTGGTGACCTTTCGAGCTGCCAGATCGGGCCAGTACGCCGTCCAGCTCGGTCGGAACGTGTCAGTGCTACGTCGACCGGACCCAGTATGGGGGCTCGTGTGCTCATCGTGTTGGCTCTGGCTGTAGTGGTGTGTCAAGCCGCTTCAACAGGGCGAGGTGCGTATATCTGGTGTAAAGGGCCTGAAACTGAGCCACGCTTAGTCCGGCCCTATTCTGGCTGAAGTGAAGCTAAGCTTGCCGTTGAAGGTTGGAATTCAGTGTCCGTGATTACACAACAGAACATGATGTGCTTCTGATGCTGTTCCAGGTAGTTTTAAGGATCTTGTATCATAACCCAATGACTTCGATAGGCCATCCGCTCTCATTCTGACGCAGCTAATGAATGTAACGCTGTCCATTAAGCTTACTGAAGCCGTGCAACAGACTGACGCCGTATGGACGGGGGGGGGGGGGGGGGGGGGGGGGGGAGGGGGCGGCACCGACGTGGTGAGATTGGTACGCACAACAACATAGAACCTTATGCCAGTAAAGACCTTCACTGGTCGTCTAGTGCACCTTGTTTAGTCTTTTAGTCTAGTGCAAATGCAAGAAATTGCTTACACACCAGCTTTGCACTTCACGTAAGATAGAGCGGTTTGTTGTTTTATCCCATATACATTTAACCTACATTTGCTGATACTTTCATCAGTAAGTCCCGGTGTTTGTCTGGACGGTGAGAGGAAGACCGACGGTTGTAACCAGTGCTCCTGCTTGGGAGGCGCCTGGGCTTGCACCCTCAGAGCCTGCGTCGACCCCGCAGGTACGGGCCGGGGGGAGAGTGCACCGCTCTCTATCAGATGTAAAGTCGGGAGCACCTCATGCTTAGTATGATAAAGATCAGTATGACTATGACAGTATGACTATTTCCTGCTTTTCCATTATCGTTCTCTCCTGCTCTCGTACGTTGTAACCGTTCATTTTGTCAATGTTCTTTTTCTCCTAACGTGGCATACTTCTCGTGGTTACGATCTCGTTCCCATTCCCACAGTTGTGTTTGCTTCCATGGTCCTTATATCTATACTGTGGTGTCGCGACTGGTAAAATGGGGAGCGTCTTCCCCTTCTTGCCTCTCCGGCGTGCCTTCCTTACCTCTCGGGGCGGGAATGATTAGATGTGTGTCCCCATCCCGGGCCAGTTGTCATCTAATGTTAATACAGACAACTCACTTCGCTACTGCCTTACAACACTGTTATACATCATCTAATATTCACATCACTGTTTGTGACTGTTAACAGTCACATGTGTAGGCCCAAAAGCACATCAAAAAGTATCAGCCTGATTTCAGAACACATGTCGAAAATCAAACGAACTGCACCCTTATCGACCGGTCGTAATCAGTTTTGTTATACCTATGTAGCTGTTTGTCTGATGTGTACATAATATCAGTCCTCTGACTGCTGCACCTTTTGTTAAGTGCAATGTGTTTTTTTAGATACATTTCCTGGATCGCTGCCATGCAAGCTGGCTCCCCACATCAAAGGGTGTTGAAAAATCCCGCCACGATATCAAGAATACCTGCTTGACTAAATTAGGCAGGACAATTGTTGGTAAGTGAGCTTCATCTGCCTTTTGCTTTGTACATAATTATCGCTCATGTCCTAAAGCAGTTTGGAGTCTGCTTTCAGAAGCATAAAATGTTAGATTCTTCTTTCATGACACTGACAGGGTGTAGAATTACGCATTAAGTAGGGACCGACACAAAACAATTAATTTTTGCCTAATTTTTTGCTCTTTTTGTTTCAGGCTGATCAAAGAAAATGGCATGGCAACCAAGACCCACGTTCGTATGCATAATTTTTTATCTGATTGTATGCCTTGTATTATATCTGAGGGTGTGTTTAATAAGTTAAGCCGTTCGTTCGTTGCCTGTGCGACTGAATTTTTACGCTTTTAATCGGAAATGTATGTGCTAAAAACGTCTGCCAGGTGAGACAAATATAAACGAAACACCGCATTGATGTGTGACTGGCTAAAAGCATCGAAAGGATTTTACTCCATCGAGCGAACAAGCAGGCAGAAAACTGATGAGGTGAGCCTTTAATTTGCATTTAACAAACCTTGTATTGAAATTAAAACTTTCTGTTGAAGTGCACGAATGTGTGTGTCTAGGCCTAAGTCTATTTCTAAATACATATAGTCTGATATGCAACATCGAATACTAAAATAGCATATATGTAGCATGTATGTATGCGCACGCATGTGTGTCACACTTGTATGGATGTACGCAGATCTATCCATGAAATATGCTGCGAAGTATGTTGCTTTATTAAGCAAAGCTTGTATGTTTATCTCTGAATATGTGAGCTAATGCTGAGGCTGGGTGGGCGATTTGTGTGCATATGAAGGTCTCTGTAGCTTATTACATAAGCTGAATTCTGCATGAAGCTGTATACATGTCATGTGCACATCTGTTTTAATTAGAGCATTAAGTTGGACCTCACTCGAAGTAAGTTCATAAAAAAGAGTGCAGTCTTCTTGTTTTTGCTGAGTACGGCAAGAATTATGGCTGAATACAGCCATCCGCCAACCCACGAAAAAGCGGGTCGTGCCTGTCAACAAAAAGACAAATTATCCACACTGCCTTGAAACGAAAGGAATGGTGATGTGAGCAAGGATGCTGGAAGACACGCACCGTCCACATCAATGTCTGGGTACGTCACAACGCATCAATGGGTGAGGGCTGCAGAACAAGCATTGCGTTGATGCGGAAACATTGATACGATAATTATTACAGCTATTTTTGTCAGATCATTATTACGCGATGTCCTTACGCTTCCTTACATATGCTCACACCACTTGACATCAAATACCCCGTCACTGGTCCTCAGCGGTACCCATCCACCCGCTCCTCCCACCCTGCTGCCTTGAGCACCAAACACCCCGTCACTGGCCCTCAGCGGTACACCACCACCCGCTCCTCCCGCCCTGCCGCCCGGAGCATCCCCGGCCGTCCGTCCTGACCGTTGTTCCTCTCGCCGGGGTCTGTCGGCCGGTGGGCCGTCGGAGATGGTATCGGATGTGGAGACGGGGCGGAGTCCGGCCCGGCCCACCCCACACCCCGCGGCGGGGGCGACGATCGGCCCGGTAGTCACCACTAATTGGCCTGCCAGGCGGCAGAGTCACTCACCGACCCGGGGATGAGGCACTGAAGAAGAGCGGGACCGGGGGGCGGCGCACGGCTGTCCCCCAGAGAAAGAAGGCGGAGAGATCAGGGAAGAACAGAGGCAAAGATTAGGGGTTGAAGGAACGACGGGGCAGAAGTGAAACTACGGAGAAGTGGTCATCTACGCATGCCAAAAAGAGTGAAAATCATGGACATTGAAATAGCTTTATACCTTACGAACCAAATAGGATATTACTTAGCACAGGTTGCAGATTGCGTGACTCAAAATATGTTCACATAAGGTGCAACTCGATTACTTTATCCAGTTTTATCTGCTGACATTCCATCAAATATATGTCTAACATTTCCATCCACATTTAGCTTATCCACATTGCATCACGTTTTTAAAGGTGTGTCCCTGGTTCATTGCTTGGCTGGCATGCTACATCATCACAGGCATCGATGATCAGTATTTCTAAAAGTCCTGACACGCACTGCCTGATCTCTGGCGCCTTGGTGTCTGAGCTCCGTGTGTGTGTGCGGCTGCAATCCGTGCCTCACAGCGTCTGGTCTTAGAACTAACGCATGTTTATTCATTGCTCCTAAGGCTTTGATGCCTCTACAATTGCGGTCCCGTGCGAGGCGTTTTACGACGGTAGTACACAAATAAACATGTCGGCTCTGCTGGCCACACCGCCCGCTTCCAATAAGCAGCGTGGCTTTCCTCAGTTTTTGCAGCAGCACAGGTGTGGTATGGCCATTGGGTCTCAGCTCTCAGAGGTGTTATTTACGGCTACACGCTTGGACGGTTGGCCTGCCGGGGACAGTGCAGCCGGTAAATACGTCATCCACAGCAGCAGGGTGGAGCCCGAGAGGCGTTGCACAATGCTGGCTGGCGAATAGGCCGCGGGAGCTTATGCGCATTATAGAGATCGCTGGCGGTGATTGCATTCAGGCTGAAGCGCGTACCGTCTGGGTGCCATTAACGTGCCACACGAGGCCAGAGGGGCGCCATAACCCGGATCATTCGTCCCGCTAACCACCGAAAGTGGCAGGCAACGCGAGCAAAGCAAAGTGACCTCTTCCAACGCGCATCAATAATAACCTTGCCCGTAATTCGGCATCAGTGGCGCGCAGCCGGTGAGAGGACGCGGCCTTGCATGCCGTGCACGCGCCCCACACGCGTCTGGCTGACTGCGAAGCGGGTCGGCCGGTCGGCCTGGTGATGCTGCGATCTGATGGTGGATGGAGCGCAGACGCACACCCTGCCGCAGATGCTCGAGCCTCGTATGGCCCTGACGGCCCGTCCGACGGGTGATCGAGATCTGATGACACCGACCGGCCGTCCCTGGGTCATCAGCGACGTCAATGGGTGGTGTGCAGAGCTGTGGTCGGGCCGAGGCTCGCAGATACCACCACCGGCAGCCGCTCCCCGCCGCGGTCAATGGAGAGCCGGTGACCGTCTAATGCCGCCACGGTGAACGGAGGGCGCAACAGGAGAGGGCACTTCTTGTGCAGCGATGGGACTGCACAGGGCCTGGTGAAACCGCAAGGATGCTCTCACTGTCAGTTAGTGTTAGCATTACTTCTATGAACGTGCTATAGATGCCTCAAATGGAAACCTAACGACCACGTCATTTATTTCACACATGTATGTCGAAAATCAGTTCGGTCCGAGATGTTCACAAAGATGACGCTCCAGTATCCATCAGAGACCACTCCCTGTCTGCGTTTTCGCACCCAGCCGCCTGTTTTGCTTCCGACAGGTCAGTGAGCGATGACTGCTGTCGGACCGGTCCTGTCCTCCGGTCTCAGCGTGTGGTCTGCTCATCTGACGCCCCAAACACGCAGCTGAACACGGCCCCAGCGGACCTCTCGGAGTGTGCGGTCCATCTAGGCCACAGGATCGCCCTGTTACCAATGGCCACTGCCGCTGAGTCTGTCTGTAAACGGCATCACCGGATCCCGAGCGGCGGGCCGTGCCGGTGCGGCACCGCGTCATCACGGCCGCCATCACGCTGATGACGCGGCCCGGATGACTCACCGGTCGGAAGCGGCGAGCTGCGGCCTGCCTGATGGACGTGTGCAGCGCGGCAGACGCATGAAGGATGTGGCCATATGTCGACTGGTCAGCTGGGTTTTGTGGGGAGGTTTACCACAGACGTGAGTGATGATGTCATGTGGACTGGTCAGCTGGTTATGTGGGGAGGTTTACCACAGACGTGAGTGATGAGGTCATATGTGGACTGGTCAGCTGGTTATGTGGGGAGGTTTACCATGGACGTGAGAGATGTGGCCATATGTGGACCGGTCAGTCTGGCTGTGGCTTTGTCATCAGCAGCATCGCATCTCCCCGCCTTATTGCTTGCGATCGATAGATCACTTGCACTGGGTCACTCTCCGATTAGCATTGCGGCAAGTGGTCCATGCACTCTGATGAACAACATATACAATACATGTGACGTAAATTTCGAACTGTAAACCTCCATATATGCATACATTTAAAGCATCACCCCAGATTCAAACCAAATTTCCAAACTGTTTTGGAACCATTTATTTGTATTGGAGACCATTTCAATGGACGCCTCAACCGCAAACACTAATCACGTTTACATTGATCTGCGAAGTCATAATACACAAAAGCGAACGGACGATCTATTTGACGCCCTGATGGACAGCTGACTATCGATGCCAAGAACCAGACTGTACCAGTGATAATCAGCTGAATGATATCTGATTGCCGTGATGCACAGAACCCTTCGGCTTTACAAGGAGCTTGTCAAAAACGGCCCACTGATTTCCAAGAAGCACCGCAGAAGAAAAATGAATGGTAAAGGGAACGAAAAGATGAATAGCTTGTTCCTGTGTGGTCAAACGGACGCGCGCATAAACGGACGGAGAGAGCAAATTCCGTATGTCCACGTGGAGCGATTGCGTCACGGGTAACACGTCGGAGGTATACAGCAAATAAATGGTGGGTGGGCTGAGGGTGTCACTCTATGGGTACTACAGGTATTTGTTTCAGCGGACACTGTATGAACATATTTTAGTAAAAACCAGTCCCGAAGTCGGGTGCTAGAGTTCTAGTTCACGTCTGCGGTATTTGGATAAGTGAGAGTGGTGTCCCAACAGGCAACGATTTTCATGCTGGGTGGTTCCAGTAGAAAACAGATGAACAGTCCAGCAGAGTCCTTTCATTTTTGCACCTCTAACAGTTTCCCCGCAACCATTGGCGCTCCGACAAAGGGTGGCATATGCACCGAAAGGCTCCTTAGCTGCGATCGGACTTGTGGAGCAATTCCTTCAAAACTTCTTCTTTGGTTGAACTTTGTTTGCACGGTTGCTTTCTTTCAATCCTACATCTGTAATTGACGCTCAAACGTGCACGCATCATGCTATTACGATGCGACGCCACAATGACCACTGTCGATGGCAAAATGGAAGCAAACCCAACACTATTCATTCTGGCATGCACGCGCATTGGATATGCTGAACATAATGATCAGTCCGTGACCGGCACTGTTTTTTGTGAAGACATCCCCTTTTTTAAATCCTGTGCCTGTGAGTATTGAACAACTTCATGGACTCTGCCTCGCGGCTGATTTCTGCACGCTCACGTCTTTATTAGTTTAATCCTCCATTGCTATCATAGTTCCGGAGAATTGCTATGGAGTCGGTCTTGTGTGACTGTCAGTCCGGGAAAAAAGTATGTTTCAGCGCATGCGCATTAAGTAATAGAGATCAAACAGACATACTCCTCAAAGACGCTAGAATAAATCCCAACGATTAGTGTGGTGGTAAGTATGTTCACATGATTACTGACCTTTGTCAAATGAACGCAGTTTTGCCTTTTCTGCTTTAATATGCACATGAGGCTGGGTGTAAACGAGGCGTCAACGGCGGACTCCCACTAATCTGCGGTTGCGAAACACCTTACAGGCCGATTAATAGTCGTTTTCTTTCACGAGAAAGGTACTG